GCGATGCCCTCCTGTTTACCTGATGCTGCAGGAAGAACAGCTGCTTCCCTGGACTCCCAGCCTCCTCTGGTTTCCTGGTCTCCTTGGTGGGAGAGAAGACCTGGTGTCTGAGGTGCTTGGCTCCTGCAAGGATTGGGAGTTCTGTGCAGTTCCCAGGTGATCTGCAGGCACTGGAGCACAGGCCGGGAAGCCGGCCTGTTTACCTGATGCTGCTGGAGGAACAGCTGATTTACCAGTGTTTTATTGAGCATTTTTGCATCAATGTTCATGAGGGATATTGGCCTGAAGTTCTCTTTCTTAGTTGTGTCTTTGTGTGGCTTGGGGATCAAGGTTACAGAAGCCTCATAGAAAGAGTTTGGCAAAGACCCTTCTGCTTCTGTAGCATGGAGTACTTTGAAAAGAATTGATATAAGCTGTTCTTTGAATTTCTGGTAGAATTCTGCACTGAGGCCATCTGGACCTGGGCTTTTTTTGGTTGGGAGAATTTTGATGACTGCTTGCATTTCCATAGGGATTATAGGTCTATTTAAATTGCTTATCTGTTTTTGATTTAATTTTGGCAAGTGATAGCTATCCAGGATGTCATCCATTTTCTTCTAATTTTTGAGTTTTGTGGAGTACAGGTTTCAAAGTATGACCTGATGATTTTCTGAATTTCCTTAAAGTCTGTTGTTATGTACCCCTTTTCCTTTCTGATTTTGTTCATTTGCATGTTCACACTCTGCTGTTTGGTAAGTTTGGACAACAGTTTGTCTATCTTGTTGATTTTCTCAAAGAACCAACTCTTCGCTGCATTGATATTTTTTGGCTTGTTTTTCTAGGTTCTACTTTGTTGTGTTCAGCCCTCAATTTGGTTATTTCCTGGCATCTACTCCTCCTAAGGGAGTTCGCTTCTGTGTGTTCTAGAGCTTTCAGCTGTGCTGTTAACTCTCTAGTATAACTATTCTCCAGTTTCTTCATGTGGCCACTTAGTGCTATGAACTTCCCCCGCAGCACTGCTTTCAAAGTGTCCCACAGGTGTGGGTATGTTGTGTCTTAATTGTCATTGAATACTAGAAAGTCTTTAATTAGTTTTTTTGTTTGTTTCTTTTATGACACAGGAATGGTGCAGTTGTGCATTATTCAATTACCAAGAGTTTGTAGGTTTTCTGCAGTTTGTGTTGTTGAGTTCTAATTTTAAAGCATGGTGGTCTGATAAGATAAATGGAGTTATTGCAATTTTTTGAAGCTGCTGATGTTGGATATGTTGCCAAGTATGTGGTCGATTTTCAAACCATGTCGTGGTTTGAAGAAGGTATATTCTCTTTTATGTGGATGAAATGTTCTATAGATGTCTGTTAATTCCAGTTGGGTCATTACTTTTATTAGACACTTTGCTTTTTTGTTTAGTTTCTGTCTGGTATTCCTGTCTAGTGGTGAGAGTGGTGTGCTTAAATCTCCCACTATAAGTGTGTGGGGCTTTATATGTGATTTACGTTTTAGTAATGTTTCTTTTACGAATGTGGATGCCTTTGTATTTGGGGCATAGATGGTCAGGATAGACACTTCATCTTGGTGGATTTTGCCTGCGATGAGTATGTAATGACTCCCTTCATCTCTTTTGATTGATTTTATTTATTTATTTGTTTGTTTTTTATTTTTAAGTTCAAATTTAGATTAGAAACATGGATGGTTCACAAGTCAGTTCCTTGTCCCTCTCCCTTTCCCACCTCTCCTCCTGTGCCCTCCCCCAGTCCCCCATTATCCCCTCATTTCACCAGGGAGTGTAGGCCCACCATGGGGGTGTCCAGAGACTGTCACTTCATCCAGAGCAGGGCCTAGACCCTCCCCCCAAGAGTTCAGGGTGAAAGTTCATCTCACATTGTTGGATGGGAGTCCAAAGTCCATGTATACATTCCAGGTGAATTCTGATCTACTACCCAAGTCTCAATAGATTACCTAGGCTTCCTCACTGACACCCGGATTCAGGAAGGCTTGATCAGTCCCATGTTGGATTCGCAGGCATCAGCCTGTGATTCAAGAGTTAACACTTGTCAGATCAGCTGTTTCTGGGGTTAAACCAGGCCCGTCTTAACTCCTTTGGTCATCAGTCCTCCCTCTCTGTTACTGGCTTTCTTGAGTTCAGCTCGGTACTTAGCCGTGAATGAAGTTTCTGTTTCCAAGACTCCATGGCCAAGAGACTGTAGTCTGGTACTCTCCAGATCTATGTCTAAAATCCATATATGAGAGAGTACATTCCATGTTTCTCATCTTGTGACTGTGTTATCTCACTCAGTATGGTTTCTTCACGTGTAATCTATTTGCCTGCAAATCTCTAGATTCCATTGTTTTTTTCTGGGGAATAGTACTCCATTGTGTAAATGTACCACGTTTTGTCTATCCACTCTTTGGGTGAGGGGCATCTAGGTTGCTTCCAAGTTCTGGCTATTACAAATAATGCTGCTATGAACATAGTGGAACAAACATCCTTGTTGTATGAATGGGCATCTTTTGGATATATGCCTAACAGTGGAGGTTCTGCGTCTTGTGGTAGGTTTATTTCCATTTTACTGACGAATCTCCATGCTGATATCCAAAGTGGCTGAACCAGTTGGCACTGCCACAATCCATGGAGGGGTGTTCCCCTTTCACAACATCCTCTCCAGCATAAATTGTCCTTGGTGATTTTGATTTTAGCCATTCTGACAGGAGTGAGATTGTACCTCAGAATTGTTTTGATTGGCATTTCCTGGATGGCTTAGGATGTGGAGCACTTTCTCCAGTGCCTCTCAGCCATTTTAGACTCCTCTATTGAAAACTTTCTATTATTTCTGTAGCCCACTTTTTAATTGGATCCTTTGGTGTTTTGGAGTCTTGCTTCTTGAGTTCTTTGTAAATTTTGAACATCAACCCTCTGTTAGATGTGGGGTTAGTGAATATTTTTTCCCATTCTGTGGGCTGCCTTTGTGTCTTGCAGACTGTGCCCTTTGCCTTACAGAAGCTTCTCAGTTTCAGAAGGTCCCATTTATTAATTGTGGATCTCACTGTCTGTGCTGGTGGAGTTATGTTCAGGAAGCTGTCTCCTGTACGAATTCGTTCAAGGGTACCACCCACTTTCTCTTCTAAGAGGTTCAGTGTGACTGGATTTATGTTGAGTTCTTTGATCCATTTGGATTTAAGTTTTGTGCATGTCGATAAACATGCATCGATCCGCAGTCTTATACATGCCAGCCTCCAATTATGCCAGGATCATTTACTGAAGATGCTTTCTTTATTCCATTGCATCCTTTTAGTTTCTTTGTCAAGGTCAGATGTTAATATGTGTGTGGGTTAATTTCAGGGTTTTCAATTTGATTCCATTGGTCTACCTCTAGGATTTTGTGCTAATACCAAGCTGTTTCAGTACTATAGCTCTATAATAGAGCTTGAAGTCAGGGACGGTGAACCCTCCAGACATTGCCTTGTTGAAAATGGTTGTTTTGGCTATCCTGGGTGCTTTGTTTTTCCATACAAAAATGATTATTGTTCTTTCAAGTTCTGTGAATAATTGTGCTGGGATTTTAATGTGGATTGCATTGAATCTGTAGAATGCTTTTAGCAGGATGGCCCTTTTTACTACATTGATCCTCCCTATCCAAAAGCATGAGAGATCTTTCCATTTTCTGAGGGCTTCTTTAATTTCTTTCTTAAAGATTCAAAGTTCTTGCGATACAGGTCTTTCACTTGTTTGGTTAGCGATACCCCAAGGTATTTAATGTTATTTGTGGCAATTGTAAAGGGTGATGTTTCTCTGATTTCTTTCTCAGCCCTTTTATCATCTGTGTATAGTAGGGCTACTGATTTTCTTAAGTTGATCTTGTAGCCTGCCCCTTTGCTGAAGGTGTTAATCAGCTGCAAGTGTTCCCTGGTAGAGTTCTCAGGGTCATTTATGTAAACGATCATATCATCTCCAAACAGTAAAATTTGATCTCTTCCTTCCCAATGTATCCCCTTATTCCCTTTTGTTTTCGTATGGCAATGGCTAGAACTTCAAGCGCAATCTTGAAAAGGTATGGAGAGAGTGGACAGCCTTGCCTTGTTTCTGATTTTAGAGGAATTGCGTTGAGTTTCTGTCCATTTAGTTTGATGTTGGCTGTTGGTTTGCTGTATATAACTTTTATCATGTTTAGGTATGTTCCCGTTGTCCCAGAACTCTACTCTACAAGGGCTTTAAAATGAAGAGGTGTTGGATTTTGTTAAAGTCTTTTTCCGCATCTAGTGATGTGCTTCTTTGTCCACATTGGGGTGTTCAGGTCTTACTGGTGTAGAATCTCTAAACTCTGGTGATGCCCTATTTGTTTTTCTGTTGCTGAGAGTGTTCTTATATTGCCTTTTCCCCATCACTTCTTCCAGTAGGTGTAGAAAGAGTTTCTTCCTCTCTTGCTGGGTAGGCTACCAGGGTTCCCATTTCGGTGGGTGCAAGCAAATCCAATACTCTCTGTCCTCTGCTGTCTGCCCTCTGCCCAGGTTTTGGGTTGAAGTGGAGCAGCTCTCTCGGCAGGCTCCTGGTTGCTTTGTTATCCTTCCAGGGGGTGTCATCCTGGCTCTGACCTCTGCCCCGAGTGTGGGCAGAAGTGTACCAGCTGGCTCTGCAGCTCCTGGTCACTTAGTATTCCTTCCAGGGAGTCGCCCAAAATGATCTTGAACTCTCTTGTTCATATATTCCTTCCTCCCTCTCTTTGACTGAATTCCTGGAGCTTGATCTGGTGCTTGATTGAAGCACCTATTGTCATCAATCATTGGGAGAAGTCTCTATGATGATAGTTTGTGTATTCCCCAATCTGATTACAGGGGCAGATCAGTTTCCGCATACTCTCCATTATTGCAAGGAGCCTTAGCTGGGGTCCTTCTGTGGATTCCTGTCATTCACCGAAGATTATTTATTAAAACAACATAGTCAAAATACCATGGTCGAGAGCATTTTGATAGCCAGAGCAAATGGATCTCTGATGGACTGCACTGTACTATCTTTAGTGTAAAACTTACATGACGATCAAGGATTCACCATGGAGTGGTTCAGGAACACAGCACAGTGTTCTGAATGCATGGGTTATTCGTTTCCTTATCAGCTTCCAAGCCTTGAATGGTCTGGATGCAGAGGTTGTGGATCCAAAATAGGAATGTTCATGGGCAATGTTGGGCCACAAGGATGGTTGCTCTATGGAGAATTCCTTATTCGGAATCCCTGTAGGTGGCAGGCTTTCCACAGAATTTATGTTGATTGCAATTTCCCCAGTAGCACTGTGGATGACTTTAGCCTTCCTGATAATTCTTTTTGGAAGTATTTCATCTGAACAGGGCATCATCTCCAAGCAGGAGTATTTATTGTGCATCTTATAGCTTTGGCATCTCTCACCTCTTCTATCCACACCATTCTCCTGAAAGTCAGCCTTCCCAGATTCTATATTTTTTGCCAAGGCCGTTTCACTGGCTGCCCGTTTCAAGGAGACAAGGGGGTGAAGAGCACCTCCTGGGCTTCTGTTTAAACAGGGCTTCCCGTTTTGCTGATGACTGTCCCCACAGCTCAATTTGTGTTTCAGAATATTGAAAGTTGCTGTTACATTATTACTTTCTTGCCTTTTTCTTAAGGAGGACACAATCTCTTCACAGGTATAGCCAATGTTGCACATAGTGTCTACAACCCTGGGAAGGATTTCTTTACTTGCAGGTTCTACGTGCCCTTTAATATGGCCCAGCCATCTTCTTTCTAGGAGCTGACATATTGTTATCCTGTACTGGGTGGGGACTGTGAGCAATTGTGCAATGATCTTGCGACAGGCCTTTGAGAGGTTGTAGGGAATGGGGTACTCTGTATTAGTGACAAGCCTGTGCATACCATGAATTGTAGTTGCTGTAAATGGAAACTGTCCTGTGACCAGTACATATAGGACCACTCCCAAGCTCCACATGTCAACTGGGAGCCCATCATAGGGTTTCCTCGCCAAGATCTCTGGAGCCATATAGCGCAAAGAGCCACAGACATTCTTCAGCTTCTGCCCCTCTTGGAGCTGAATAGCCATCCCAAAGTCACAAAGCTTCACGTTTCCAGCTCTGTCAATCAGGATATTCTGCAATTTAATATCACGATGGCAACAAGTCTTTGGTGGAGAAAGAGCACTGCTGACACGACCTTTTGGAATATTGGTCTAGCTTCTTCCTCCTTTAGATAGGTTTTGTCCCTGAGGAACATCTCCAAGTGATTTCCTGCCACATACTCCATGACCACATAAGTCTTTTCCAGTGTGTTAATGACATGATAGAATCGGACTATGTTTCTGTGTTCCAAAGACTGGAGGATCCGTACTTCAGAGTTGATGTCATCCATAGCATTCTGAGTTTTCTTGAGCCCCTTGACTGCAACCTGTGTGCTTGTAGGAAGGTGGCAGGCAAGCTTCACTGCACCAAATGTTCCACATCCAGAAATGTTAACATTTTGAAATCATTTTGTAGGATGGCATGGGCCAAGCGGCTGTCCATGATGTAAGCTTCAATTTCAAGCACTTTATCTCGTCGGAAAGCAATGCTAGAAACAAAAATGAAAGCACATTTAGTATGGAGGCTTAGTGCACTGAATATTCCGTCATGAAATAGGAGATAGCTCAAACAACCTAATGATGCACTTCAATTATATTCAAGTACTAGTACAACCAAATCTCACAGCACCAGATAAGGAATAAGTGTAAATATCACAGCTAAAATCAATGCTATGTACATGGAAAATAAAATACTAGGGTCATAGAAACAGTGATGAGTTCACAGTGAAGAATGCATCAAAATGAAAACCCCTGGCAGAACACTTCCAAGAGACACAAGACACAAATTAAAGTATGGGAAAATTGTGATCGTCTAATTTACTTACAATGCATAGGGTCTGATGTGGATATTTCTACTTTTAAACCTAGGAATATTTTAAATCATGAAAGGAATTCCTAGATATGTGTAAGTATTGTAATAAGAAGAAAGAAAAGCACATAAATACATGAGTCATAAGTGGCAAATGTGGCTGGTAACAAAATGGCTCCCAACCTGGCAGAGCCCTGGCATATTGAATCCCCTGAATTTATCCAAACTTTGGAGAAGAATGAACATTGTATTGGAGGGATTTGTGTGAAAACCTGATACAAGCTTGTGTCATCAGAGAGGAATGGGCCTCAGGTGAAACAATGCCTTCATGATACACAGCTGTTAGTCATTTTGTCAATTAGTAATCAGTGGAGCAGTACGCAGCCCATTGTAAGTAGTGCTCTACCTTCTTGGACTTTTGATGCTCAGTACTACTCCAAACAGGGCTGATCAACTCAGTATTCAGCAGCCTTCCATGGCCTCTGCACCAACTCCTGCCACAATGAAACTGGTCTGCTTGAATTCCTTTCCTGACTTTCTTTAGAGGGAAACAGCAATCTTGTAAGTGTCGGTTAATTAAACCTTTTCCTTCTGAACTTTCTCATTGGACATGGAGATCTGTTGCAACAATAGAAGCCCTAAGACAAACACCAAAATTACAAAAAAATATTTCTTGAAAGGGAAAATAATGGAATGCATCCAAATGGATCCCTGTATCTGTATCTGTATTAGCCTGAGCCCCAAGACAAAGGAGAACATAAATAATATATAAACTCCTTTCCTCAATAAATATAGTTCAGAAATTCCTTAATGAGAATCCTTGATTCTTCACATCTATCTCAGCAACACACTGCATATTCCTTCATTCACAATTAAAATGGTCTAAACCAGGAACAGGAGGACATGACAAAGAATACAAATTGAATATTAGCACAGTATATAAGGAGTCTCTTGGGAAGATATCAAACTAAGCACAGTGAGTAGGGAACTCTAGTGTTAAAACAAAAGTAGCTAGTACTAGGTATCATTTTGAATGACACAAAGCAGCTCCACAACCGCAAATCAGACATGTTTTGTGTGTTCTGGGTCATGAGGAAACGGGGGACTGAGCTTTTTTCAAAGTCACAGTATTAGTCAAAATTTGATGCTTGAAGGAGAGAAATGGTGCAGGAGAATATGATCAAAGTACAGTAAGGCAAGCATGGAAATGGTATAATCAAATTGGCAATGTGTGGTATATACTTAAATAGAGGAAAAAATGTACCCAAAGGGAAAAAATAGATTCAATTTTTAAAATTGTATATTAGAAAATAATTAATGAAGTAATGGAATACACATTTATAAATTAAGCCTACAACAAACCTAACTTTGTAAATTTGAATAGGAACCCTGAGACTTCAATAACAGGAAGTCAAACCTACAAACAGGGTAACAACCTCGCTATGTTGAGGTCTATTTGATTAGAGAACTCCAACTCTCTGAGGTTCATTGTAACCTCATTACTGCTGTGTAGGAATCGAACAGTGTCTCCAATATTTAAGGAGAAACTCAGCTACTGGTTATGTACAAATGGACTGATATGGATCATTATTCACAGTGTCTCCCTGAAATTTTCACACCAGCCTGTCAGGGATTTGTAAGAGTAGGCAATGTTGTTTTGTTGTTGTTTTCTTATCTTCTGAAGTTTAACAATAAGCTGACCATTTTTATTGTGGCTGTGATCAAGTCCCAGTTTAGAGTCAACTGTAGGGAGGAAGAGTTTATGTGAATTCAGATATCCAACAGCCTTACAATCTATGTCCCTGGGGACATGGTGTTCCTTTTAGAACTGTGTTGTTAGGTGTCTGGTGGCATCACATAGAAGTTCTCTATCCACCAGTGCCTTCCTTCCTAGAACGTTTCATGTCCATGCTTTCTACAGGTTTCCAAGCCATAGTAGTTACTGGAAAACAAGTGCTCCCAATGCTTGAGATAATGTGAAATAAAGCGCTGTGTTAGTTTAAATGAGAACTGTCCATACAGTCTTGGGCTTGTAAGCATGAGTTTTTGTCCTATGTGGTGGACTTCATGTGGTATAGTGTTTGTGACTATTATTCAGGGTTCACTAATCAACATGTTGTCTTATTCAATAATACAATCACCCCCTCTTCTGGAATTTATTGGAATGACTTACCTTCTGCTGTCAAATATCCAGGAGTTTCTCAGTCCACAAGGCTGGATCTCTTGGTTGATCTTCAGTGTATGCTGAAACACACAAGAAATAGACTCTAATTCCAGTCAAGGAATGGACTTGCTAATAAGGCGAGGGCAGGTGGCAAATGAGCAAAGCGACCTTCTTCCTTGTTCTTATATAATCTTCCAGCAGAAGGCGTGGCCACAATAAAGGTGTGTCTATTTTGCTTGAAGATCTGGATTAAAGGTGTGGCGTCACGCCTCTACATTCTCATAGAAGGGGCATTTTCCTCACGATCCACAGCAAATTCATCAAATATACTCTCTCACAGGCTTGCACTTCATATCAGGGTTATAGTTTACTAGAGATACAATGAAGTCGATAATGAAAAATTGCCATTACTGGGCTTGTGCTTGAGATTAAGGAATCTAGCCTACTTCACTCTGTCTCTCTTCTTCCCAATAAAAATTGAAGGTATAAGAATTTCATCTTCCACTTAGGCCTTAATGACTCTGGAAAACTGCAATGTGTCACCGATTTTAGTATTCCTCCCAATGAGAATAACCTGCCAATATTCAATTTAATTAGTCAGTTTTGGACTTGTTCCTGTTTTATTTTCTTTCTGCCTTCTTTCTTTTATCTGTTTTCCTTCCTTCCTTCATTCCTTCCATCCTTTGTTTTACTTCTTGAAAAGTGTTTTGTGAGATGTGTTTCTCTCTATCAGCTCTGGTTATCCAGGTGTTACAGGTGACAATGAGATTTGTCTTGATCTCACAAAGATGTTGCTGCCTCTGTCTCAAAAATGCTGGGATTAATGGTGTGACATACAATCACTAGAAACTGTGCTTAGTTTGTTTCTTCTGTTTTTTATTTTTGAGGGGGATTGGTTTTTTTATTTGGACCCTGTCCAGAAACTGGCTCTGTAGACCCTGCTGTCCTACAACTCACAAATATTCCCCTGATTCTGCAGCCTGAGTGCATTTCATAAATGCATGAACCACCAATGCCCTACTGACTGTTTTTTTTGGAACAGAAATATTGGACCATCACTGGCACTTTTTTGGGGGGATATCTTTTGGCTGTGGAGTGTCAGAGTCATCTTGTGACTACTCAGGTTTCAGAGAAACTTGGAGGGGTTTGGGAATTTTCCATGAGTTCCAGGCTTCCAACCACCTATCTTCCTCTGATGATGGCCTCCCAAAGACCTACTCGCCTCTACCTATAGCCTGCAGGAAGCCCTTAGCCTGCAGGAAGCTTCACTGTCACACACCACCCCACGTCCACCCCGCTGATTATGTATCCCAGCATTGCAAGCAGAGATGACTGAAGCCACATGAGGTGGGTTTTAGGTCACATGTGTGCTCAAGCCATCCTCAGTGTCTCACATTACTGTTAGTTGTCTGCAGGATCAAGATGTATCTCCATACCTAAGGTTTTACGTTTTGAAATATTTATGATTAAGAATGGTCAAACTATACCAATAGATAATACCTAGCATAATCCAAAAACCAAATCTCCCCATATAAGATAGGAGAGCACTAATGTGCATTGTTCACATGTACTATATCATTAAAAACTAGAAATTTGTAAAGAGCTGTAATTATAACATGAAGTATGTTTTCAGGAAATTAAGGGAGAAATAAGTATGTCATCAATGAAGGAAAAAGGAGGGAAAAAAGTAATATAGAAGGAAGGTAGGATGGAGGAAGAAGGGTAAATGAAAGTGAGAAGCTTAGCAGGACCGACCCATACTGGAAGAAAACATTCCTCAAAGACTGGCATAAAAATATACACAGGCTCTCTAGATAAATTTCATAATATAAATTTAAACTCTAAATGTTAAAAAAAGAGTAGATGAGAAGGAAAAATTTCTAAAGATTTTTTTATGTTTTCTGCATGGATATAAATGTTTAGCCTGCATGGGTGCATATGCATTTCATCCATGCTTAGTGCCTGCAGGGGAAAGATGTAGACATTGGATTCTCTGGAACTTGAGACACAGGTGGTTTTGAGTCACCAAATAGATACTGGAAATCAAAATTTGGTTCTCTAGAAGAACAGACAGTGCTCTTTAGTGCTAAGCCATCTCTTGAGTCCTGAGAAGAAAGAATTTTGTATTAAGGAAGCAAACTGAAAAATTTTAAATCATTAAGTGTTGAATTGCATTGTGGAAAAGAATTAAACAGTCAGTTATTAAAATTTAAGTTAAAGTAGGAGTCATGAAAAATTTCAGATGTAAAGAAAACGCTGTTTGATTTTTTCCCTTTTTAAATTTAAATTAGAAACAAGCTTGCTTTACATGTCAGTCC